TAAACTTTGAATATTCAGCTGTCCCTAAAAAAATTCACCTAAAATTTTGCAAAAACGTGCACAACACATTAAAATATGTTCCAGAAAATATAGTTTAAAATAACCGAGCGAAAAAAGGCAGAAGTTGAGAGAAAAACCCATTTTCCTGACGAAAAAAATTTAGGACAACAAAAAAAAGAAAACAATTCATCCGCGGCAGCTGGGTCATTGATGGCGCATTTCTCGTGGCAACTTCGGTATTAGATCTAGTCCAGATCTAATTCCGAATGAACTCAGATCTAATTCCGAATCGTTTACCTGAGTAAGCCAATATAGCAGATGATCAAGCTATAGCAGACGAGCCAATATAGGAGACGAGTAAATAGCAGATAATACCAAAGCAGATGAGTATTTGCCTTTCACTTATGTATTTTCTATTTTTAGTATGTTTACATATTTCCTGGAATCTTTTTTTTTATGTATTTAAAATACTGTATTATATAAAATCTGGTTGTTGTTCATAATTTTATAACATTTTATTTTTTTTTATTGAAAAAAATATTTTTCATGGTGGATTCGGAGCCGGAAGTGAATCAGTCATCAAAACCAGAAGCTATTCATAAGATTATTGGAAAATTTCAAAACTCTAAATCTTCAATTTTGGAAATTCTGAGGTTTTATTTTATTTTGATTTTCATGTATTCCGATTTTCGTGTTCTTATTTTTTGAATTCCTGAATTCCTATCCCTAACTATCCGGCTTTTTCCGAATACTGAGGTTCTGAAACACAAAGATTCTCAAATTCTCGAACATTATGAATTATGAAAATTAAAATACCCTGTCATTCCCACCAAAAAGTTTTTGGACCCGACAACTGTTTGGCATAACAATCCAGTTGTTTTTCAACTTTTTCCTATTGTTATCGTTCTGTTACTCTCATAAGTATATTTTCAATGTTACATGTTTTTCAAATTTGAATGGATTGTATAAATAGTGGGGTGTGTTTTTCACATTTCGTCTCATTTTTGTATGTTTTTCATGATGGACTCCCAGCCGGAATTCACCCAACCGATAAGAACCAGAGCAATTTGTGAGTTCAAAAATTTTTAATATTTCAGTATTCTTTTAAGATTCCTAAACATTCCAGGCTTCCTTCTCATCTCTTCTCTGATTTATATCGCTCCCATCGTTTGCCTTATACTTGCTGGAATTCATTCCTACGACGACTACATTTCTGACTGGAAATTCTGGAATTTCGCGACTATTTCCTGCTTTATTATCTATTTTCTGGCTCATTGCATTCAGATATTTGGACAAGCAAAACACGATAAAAATCTAGAGGAAAAAAGTGAATTTCCGGATGAAGAACGATTTCAGAAAAACCAAAAACGATTGAACAATGTCAAATTGATTTTGAAGACTGTTTATTTCATTTTGTAAGAAATTGGAAATTGAAATTGAAAAAAATGGAAAAATTTCAGATCTTTGTACGGATTCTACATCAGTTACAATGTTCTGGACGTTCTGGAAACTGGGGACTATCGTTACGAATTTTATTGGGCATTCTTTTTGTATTGTACTTTCTCATTGCTTATTTTCATTCTTCCTGTTGTAGTTTTCTTGTTCGGCAGAATTCTGGATTTGAAGAGAAGTCTTCATGAGAAGACAGTGGAAAATTTGAAATGTTTGATTTGATAATTTTACTGAAATTTTGTGGGAATAAATTGGTTCTCGAAAAACTATAATTTTTCGAAATTTTCCAAAAATTTTCAAACCAAACTTCCCAAGAAATTCGTTTTTTTTTCAAAATTCTCTCGAAAATGAAGTATTAGAAAAGCTTCAAAAAATCAGGTATTAAACAATGCAGCAGTCCTAAAAACTCGAAAAATCTCTGAAATTCAAAACAAAAAAACAAAAAGTTCAGAAATCCAGATATTTGAAAATTTTCAGTTTTTAAAAGTTCAAGTTCATTCCATAAAACTCAGGTGATTCAGAAATTCAGAAATTCAGAAGTTCAGAAATTCAGAAATTCTGAAATTTAGAAATTCAGAAATTCAGAAATTCAGAAATTCAGTTTCATATCAATGAAACAGTTCCGTAATTCTAATCCTCTAGACATGTTTTTATATTTTTCAGACGGCTTAATTCTATTGTTTTTCAAATTTGAATGGATTTTATAAGTAGTGGTGTGTGTTATTCACATTTCGTCTCACTTGTGTACAGA